CAGAAAATGTCCTAGATACCCCACAAAATCGCCCCCATGTGAGTGTAAACCAGTATTTCTTAACCATGGCAACTTTAAGATCCATGGACTTCAACTCCCAAAATTCCCCACCCAACTGGTTGGGGAATTTTGGGACTTGAAGCCCACTCATCTTAAAACTGCCACAGTTGAGAAACCCAGTTGAGAAACAATCTCAAGATAGGAAGAACTGAAAAAGCAGCATTGAGGAGCTGTTTCTTACTTAGTCGTGTATGATTCATGGATGAGATTTCTTTGTAGTTCTTATCTAATCAAAGCTTGTTGGGAATTTTATTATTGGCAGCATAATAATTTCACAAATCCATTGCTCTTCTGCACTGCCACAATACAAAACAATGCATGTTCCTGATCTTCAATTGCATACTGTGCCTGTAGATATGTGAGACCCTGAAGATTATGCTGTAGGGTTCCATCTGATCAGCAAAGAGAGATAGTCTCCTCCCCCCTCAAAAAAAAATAGTCCCTAACTTGTTTCCCAGAGAAAATGAAAATAAAAGAAAAAAAATGCAACATCAGGGGACAAATTTGAGATCAGCAACTGCAACAGAGAGTAGTAGACTACCAGGCACAAACAACCCTGCCTAGAGTCCAGGCACAACAAAATCCACCAGTCAGGAGCTGAACAGTTTGATTCCCAATGCTATACCAGCCAGACATGATCACAGACTGCAGACTGAATCCTTTCACGCACAGGCTTTCAAGGCTGCACCCAGCCATTACATACAAACCAGCAGAAGTTGCTGTGTAGACTTGTGTCTCTTAAAGAAAATTTTCCCTGAGGACGAGTGCTGAGTGCTTGCCAGCTTTATGTCTTTGAATTTCCAGGCATTGGCCACTGAGGCTCAGTAAGGTTTCAAGTCTTCTGACACGATATGTTGATGACGTCTCCGTGCTTCCCTTGAAAAATGTTTAATTGAAAGAAAAAAAACTAACAAGAGATCAAGCTGATGTCATCATCAGCAAAACAATGGATTTGTAAATGTTATTTCAAGCATTAGTAAATATTATTTTCTAAGTCTTCAAAAGCCAAAAATGTGGCTCAACAGTGTATTCCCATGCATAACTTCCGTAACTCAAAGTGAGCAGCAATTTCAGTACACTGCCAAAACAAGGCACTGGTGTCCTCAAAACATATCCTGGAGTGAAATCAGAATTTAGCTTGGGTCGTGATCATCAGAGCTGTAGACAAACATCCAAGCATCATCTTGGGCAAAATCATCCAAACCTGGCACTCACTCTCTGGTCGGGCAGGCTTAGCAATTCTCCAAGGGCTCCAAGCTCCCAGGCTCCATGCAGCTGGAGGGAAGGAGAAAGAGGGAGGAGATATGGGTTAAAAGTCAAGGGTCTCTCCTTTGCACCTCACTGTGAATTGCATATCTGTGCTGCCTGCTTGCCTCTGAAGGAGCACCTGGATTTCCAAATATGGGCCTATATTATGCAGTTGCTGTCTTTCTTTTGGGACTTTTTCACTCTGGACAGCACTGTCTTGCATTGACATTTTCCTCCTGTCTGTGGGAGCACAAAAAAATTTTCAGGGGAGAAACAACACTTCGCCTCCACAGCCTGTTTGGGTTTTTGCATGGAGCTTGATGTGTAAGGTCATGCAACACCATTTTTTCAGTACTTTTTCGCTTGACTGTTTTGAGGAGGATGTTGGTGGTATTGAGAGGCTAAGAAATGAAGGGAAGCATGTTACACACACTAAATATCATTTTATAACCACATGGACCAGCTGGGGCTCTTCATCACAGGACACAGACATCAAAGCAGAGGAAATTTGGAAGAACAGCCTTGAAAACAGCATAATTGTTATTTATCTTTACTTTGCTGGCACTTGAGGGGAATCATTAAGAAGTAAATAATTAAAAACTTGAATGTGGGAAATGAACTTAAAAGTGCCTGGGCTCAAAGAAGGGACTCTACTGTCTGGGTAAACACAGGGTAACGTGACTTAAAATCCAAAGGAAGACAGAGATGTTGACGTCCTGCTCTCCTAGGAAAATTGCTGAGTATTTTTAAGTTTTTCAAAAAATGCATTTGCTATTGAACATAAATTGAGTGTAACATAAATCCCAAGTACCTTGCATGATCATATCATTGTTGCATAAGCAGTCTGTTTCTCAACTATGATAATTATAATGCAACTTTTACTGGTTAGATTTCATCTTTGAAATAACAATTTCTTAACCTGGGAAAATTGCTGAATTGTACTGTGATCGTTAGAGCTGACAATTCAGTCCAATTCCTTCCATCATTAACAGCTAAAAAGGTAGATCAATTAGCTAGATTTGTGAATACAATTAATTTTTCTCAATGCAATACTTACCCAATCTGTGTCACCTGTTTTTTCACGAAAGAATGACATGCTTCTAGTTTCTCGTTTACATGCTGTAACCATATCTATGTGTGTATGTATGTGTGTGTGTATGAGAGAGAGAGAGAGAGAGGGCGGGAGGGAGGGAGGGAGGGAGGGAGAGAGAGAGAGAGAGAGAGAGAGAGAGAGAGAGAGAGAGAGAGAGAGAGAGAGAGAGAGAGAGAGAGAGAGAGATCAGATCAAGACTCTGACTCTTCTCAGGAGATCCTCAGGAATCTCCTGAAGAACTGCAAGTGGAGCTCCAGACAAACCTAGGAGGGGCATTCCCCACAGCTTTTCTTTCTTCTTTCATTCATTCATTCATTCATTCTTTTTTTCTTTCTTCTCTTTTTTCTTTCTTTCTCTTTTTTCTTTCTTTCTTTTTCCTTCCTTCTTTCTTTTTCTTTCTTTCTTTCTTTCTTTTTCTTTCTCTTTCTTTCTTTCTTTCTTTCTTTCTCTCTCTCTCCCTCCCTCCCCCTCCCCACTCATTTCTTTTCTTCCCCTTTTCTTTCCTGGGACATCCAAATATGATGATAGACTATGTCATTATTGAAATTGGAGTTTAACACATTGGGAGCCTAAAATATTAGGGAAGGCAGGTTTGGAACCTGAGACTCACTTCATTCCATCTAATTTTTTAAGGACAAGTTCTATTTGGTACTTATTTCTCTATGTGCTGGGTTTTTTTAATGCTGGGTTTCTTCTCAGGCAGGAATCCTGCAGCATGAGATGCTGCTCTTTGAAACATGTTCTTAAGACCCTCACATTCTTTTTGCAACGAATTCTTCTCCTGCACCTTCAAATACTTCAACAACAAAGTTTCTGAGAGGCTGCAACATTTAAGCTTGCTTTAAGATCCCTGCCTCATGTACCTCACAAGAAAGCAGGGGGAACTTCCACAGGCCCTCTAAATGCCTGGGCCAGACAGGCAGATAGGGTTCTGGCCAGGCATTGTCTGGTATATTTGTCCTTTCCTAAATTATATTTGCACCAGAATATTACAAAGCTTTGTCTGGGTGAAGCCTTCTTACCTCTGTTCAAGCCAACATGGTGCAAGGTATTTGTCCCTGTGTTGATTGTTGCCACTGTGGACAACTGTTGTGCTAGTCTGTACTCTTTTCCCTATCCCTATTTAAGAGCATATAAGAATTAAACTATATACTACTGGTTTTTAACTATTAGGATTAGTGGCTGACTGTCATGGTTTCCCTGAGACGGAGGCAAGGGAAAATCATTTCCAAAAAAGTTGCCTGGAAAAAAACTGGCTCAAAGACATTCCTCTCCCCTCCCACCCCACCAAAAAAAAAAAAAAAAGACAACACAGCAGCATTCTCTCACCCAACCAATAAAAGTAAAAACTACAGCCTTGAAGGAAAACCTGTAATTGGTGACTAACTCAAGCAGAACCTGGCTCCCTTGTTTCACTTAATCACAGACATAGCACTCTTTCAGAAGTGTGCCAAACCCATGTTTAAAAAACAATGTATATAATGTACATAAGAAGCCTTCTTTAATACCTGGCCAGCACTTTCTGAAATGCCAGTCAGTCCTTAAGCAGGCAGATGACAGCATCATCACCAAGGGAATCAGCGAAGCACTGCTGATCAGATCCATGAGAAGAAGAGTCAGGAGAAGAAGAGAAACATTACTTTAAAACTGGTACAGTCCAAAATAAATGTAAGCAGCCCAGAGAATGAGACAAAGGCAACGTCACCGAACATGTCCTTTCAAAGCCTCAGGATCTCTTTGCGCCCTGGTAAGCGGACCACAGGGAAGATCCCGTTGTCTCTTTCGGTCTTGGTCACCTGCAATTTTCGAAGCAGCAAGCACTGATGCTATGCCAAGCAGGAGACTGACAGATCGGCGCTAGGAGACAGAGTCTATTTGGAGCACTATGGGAAGGAAGGAAGGAAGGAAGCAAGCTCACCTTCGTATCAAGAGGGCCTCCACAAAAGACGCTTCTCGGAAGGATCCCGGGGCGGGGGGGGGGATTCTGGACAGCGCTGCAGCTCTAAAGCCGCCCCGCCCACCCCCTCCCAGGAGCAGCTGTAGTTTGTGCTCCCTTTGATTCGACCAATGGGGATCTGCGCCTCCGTCCTCTTCTTTTGCTAAACTAAGGCCATCCGAGGTGGGTGGTCAACTTTTCTTCCTCTTAGGCCCCGACTCCAGCGCTCCATCTTACCAAGGACCCTGGCGTTCAGAAATCCACAGGTGGTTTTTTTCATACCTTTATTTCCACGCCAGAACTAGCGTCACCGACTTCTTTCCCGGGTAGCAGTCCGTAGCGTCTGGAAAAGAGCTAGATGGCCATCGGTATATAATGGTATATAATTCGCCTTGGAAAATGCGAGTTCTTTGGACGCCCGCTCCTCTCTCCTTCGTTGCCTCCCCCCCTCCCTCGCTCCCTCGTGCGTCCGGCGTGTTGGGGGTTAATGTCTGGTACTTGGCGAGCTCGTCTGCAAAATCCTCCCTCTGATATCCAAGACCGTTCTTCAAAAAAAGAAAATCAATCTTCAGGGCCCGTGGCCAATAAGAGGAGTCCTGGGCGTGCCAAACGACCAATTGGGTGATACGATTTGCGCCGATCTGACCCACCCTATCTCTTTCCTGAAAACTGCCCACATATGGGTTGTATATGTAAGACGTCTACATATTTCTCTATAATAGCGGGAGGTCAGATCCGACGTAGATTTGAACGGAGACCGGGAGCGAGGGGAACCGGCGCTGGATCCGGAGAAGAGGGAAGGCAGCGAGCGAGTGAGGCACCGGCTCCCAGCCTCTACGATCCCCCTGTGAAAGGGTTCACAGGGACGAGGTCTGGAGATCAAGGGCTCCAGGAACTTCGGGGGAGGGTGGGGCTTTTTGTTCCCTGCGCAACAGCGGCACTCCTTCCCACTTCGTCCGGCGTGAGCATCGCGCGCCTTAGCAGGAAGAGTTGCCACCGAACGGTCCCACGCGTGGGAAAAGTCAGTGGCTACGCGGCCTCAGACGACGCACAGGGCGGATCGGGACGGGCAGCCGCCCCGCATTTTATAAACGCCCTCCGCGCGAAAGAAATGCACCTTTCTTTTTAGCGGGAGAAGCGGCCGTTCGGCGGCCCAGCCTGCGGCGCCTATCCGAGAACTTTCGCCTTTCGCTGCCCGCAGGGTGTCTGCAAACGCCAGAGGGAGGGGGCATCGCCCACCCACCCGAGGGAGGAGGTCTCGCCCACCCACCCACTCCCCGCCAAGCTTTTTTCCTCTGGGCAGTCGAAAGCGTCTTGCTGGGGAGTGTGACGCCGAAAGAAAGACGAGCCGCCATCCTCTTTCGCCTCGCTGCGAAGTGACACCAGCGGCGACCCGGGAGAAAAAGACACACAAAGGGAGAGCCAGCCAGCGAGCGAGCGGAGCGTCTTTACGCGCACAGCCCTCGGCCCGCTCCGCCCCGGCGCGAGAGAAAGCCGTGAGTACGAGAGGCTCGGGACGGTCTTCAGCTGTCCGCTTGAGCAATGTGGGAAGATCCGTTTCTAGCTCTGGAATAGATTGCCCCGTCCGCCGCCGCTGTCCCGTCCCCCCCCCTCCGCCTCCCCGCAGGCACCCAGGCGACAGGAGGGAAGGTCGCCGCCGCCGCTCCCTTTGCCTCTTGTCTGCGGTCAGGATCAAGTGGGAAGGCAAAGCCGCGTGACGGCGCGCCCACCGGCTCTTAAATCTCTTGGTCGTAGACGGCCCTGGACGGCGCGGGGGGGAGGGGGAGGGGGAGAGAAGGGTGAAGAAGGGAGATTGCTTTGCCTTCTGTGGCAAACGTAGGCGAGGAGGGGAGGCTGGAGTTAGCACTTGCTATTAGAATATGCTTTGAAGTCCTCGTGGTAGTTTCAAAAATCCTTTTCTGTTTCTGTTTCATGCTTACATGAGATGGGTGGGGAGGGGGAGACTTTCTCAAACCAGAATAACGTCGCTTAGAGGGGAAAACGGAGTTGGTGAAATTACTTTTTACCACACGCTTAGAAAGTATATAGAGAATACTGGGGGGGGGCACTAAAGTCTAGTCCTTAGCTATAAGCTTTGAAAACTTCAGTTATATATTTGGCTGGTCCATGATGCTACCAGGGGAAGTTTAATAGCTTTTAAGGTACAATTTTAAACATGTGTGGCTTATGTGTGGATGGTGTATCCACAAGTAGATTGGCTATTTCTTTTTTTTACATTTCTTTATTTCCTGTATATACTTGTGTATAAGCCCATCCTCCGATGGTCAAACCATCCAATTTTTAATCAAAATACCATGAAAAATGCAAGTTGGTTTACTCTTATGTGGCACATTTTTCTGGTAGTTTGGTTAAATAATTAAGGGTCAATTTATCAACCAAATATATACAGTAAATTAGAAATGTTCAAAATAGATTAGAGCAGCTGGCAAATTACAAAAGAAGACAAGTGCTCTGAAGAAGTAGTATTACCTTGGCCCTTCTGAACATTCTATGGTGCCAGTTTTTTTTTAATGCAGAAAAGGTCTCCTAAAAAGAAATTCCATTGAAGCTTGCTTTTGCCTAAGGAGAGGGTTGCAACCTGAATTTATATGCAGAAAATAGAGACACTCTTGTAGGAATCAGCACTGGGTTGAGAGTGGCTAAACCTGCTCCAAACTCTTAATTGCCAGGAAGGAAATATTTCTCTTTCAAAAGAATATCAATTTAGATCCTTTTCAGGTCATGAGGAGCCCCAGAGCAAAGACAATACTTCCATCTGATAGCTTCTTCCCAGGCTGAATTTCCCTATAAACGTCTTAAGGTGTGTGAGCTGATTATCCATCATTGTAATGTGTGAATGAGTAGGTGGTTATTATAGGGATGGATCTGGCACAGCTCCCAGAATCACATTTGCTGTTCATGTGTCTTAGACTCCTTAGAGAAGTGTCTGAGATGTTACAAAGATATCAGGCTGTTTCCCAGAAAGAACATTAAGAATGTGCATAGAAAAAAAATGGCTAGAAAGAAGACCCACTATATTTAATGCTCCATCACTTCAAATAGTATCTGGTTGACAAGAATGCAAGTGTAAAACTTGTAATTTTATGTCTTGCATTGATCAGTTGTTTTAAAAAGCTCATTTGATGACAGAGAGAACATGACAGAGAGATGGGTTTCATAGAATAAAACCCATGCAGCTTCCCAAATTAATATTGTGAGGTGTATTCTGGAATGCACTGGAGTTCACTATCATGCCAGATGCCCGCATAGAAAGCATCCAGATGGTCATGTCCATTTCTCTTAGGTTGATGCTTGTTTGCCAACTGAGTCAATCAGAGAGACTATGAGAAGATTTAGAGGAGGGATTCTGTTCAGTGGCCACTCTTAAGTTCTGTAAGGGTTGGTTTCTTCTTGGCACTGTCCTCAACAGTAGGAAATCTTTGAAGTTATCTTATCAGTTATCTGACCTGATCAAAATAGCTGCTTTAAATAAATAGCAAAATGGGCATACCAAAATTAAAAAATCTTGGGACTGGCAAAATACACTATTCTATGATTGCTGAAGTAATTAATTTATTAAATAACAATACGGCATTTCCCTGCATATTTTTCAACACTCAGAGCAATTTATAGTGAAATAAAATACAGTACAGTGTAAAATATAGCCACAGCAGGTGGCAGCATTCAGCTAACCTTGGCTGATCTCAAAAAAAGACTAAGCAGGGTCAAACCAGTTTAATATTTGAATGGGAGATTGCCAAGAATTCTTAAGACTGGGAAGTTGAAAATAAATTAGAGAAGAAAGCAATGACAAACTGCTAACATATTGTTACCAAGAAAATGCACAGATGTAGTTTCATCCAATCTCTAGGTTCTTTACAATATAAAATAATTCACGCAATTAAAAGAATTACAAAAATAATAACACTGAATACAGAAAAAGCAACCTTTATATTAAAAAAAAACCAGTAAGGGCAGTTTTCAATTACTGTGTCTAGAAGAAGACAACTTGCATTCAAAGTTTTTTATATGTGATCTCCATAACCTTTAATGGTTCCACTGTGAGATAAAAGTGAAGTTATGATTCCCAACTCCAGATCAATGAGGAAAATGAGATTCCAAGAATGGCCCATTTCTTTATCTTTACTCAGAATTTACTTTCCATCACTGATTTCCTTAGAGCTTATTCTCAGATGAGAGGGGTCTGCTCCAACTGTAACTATGGGGTTTGTAGCTGATAAAAGTCTAAAGCCTTCATCTGCTCTTATGCTATGCTCCACTAATTTTATTTGATCATGCTGTTGGACAGACTGCGCAGGCCATTGGTTTTTTATTCCTTACAATTTAGTCTGAGGGTGGGAAATCCAATGCAGTTTGAATAAAGAATTAGCTTGGAATACATGGTCTTGGAATACATGGTCTAATGCTGGGAAAGATTGAGGGCAATAGAAGAAGGGGACGACAGAGAATGAGATGGCTGGATGGAGTCACTGAAGCAGTAGGCGTGAATTTAAATGGACTCCAGAAGATGGCAGAGGACAGGAAGACCTGGAGGAACGTTGTCCATGGGGTCGCGATGGGTCGGACACGACTTCGCAATTAACAACAACACATGGTCTTAAGGAACTATGCTTGGTCACAATTGCTGCACATGTGTAAAGGGCACACCAGTAGGAAATCCTGGGGTCTGCAGTCCCAATACATCTGGAAGGTGCCAGATGGTGGGAGGCACTGGAGCTGCCAATTTGTTTTTGGTAAAAGAAGCAAGGATGCCCTGTTTCTTTGGGAAGCAGCCCATTTTCCCAGACTACAGTTATAATCCCAGAAGAGACAAGTCAGATTTATTTTTTTATTTTATTTATTTATTTATATCTCTCCTTCCTTCAGGGCCTCAAGGCAGAATACATAGTGCTCTGTCTGCCTTCTTTTTTTCTGCCTGTGTGGGCTGGGGCTGAGAGAGAGGGACTGGCTTAGTGTCACCCAGTCTGCTTCCATGGCTGAAGGAGGACCTGAACCTGGGTTTCTCTATCTTTAGTCCAGCATCCATCGTACAAAAATCACTTCTACCAAACCCTTTGGCCTTTTCAAGTCTTTCTGCCTCTGAGGAAACAGGGGGTCTGATTTCCTGGAAGTACGGGTGCATTCTGATTCCAAGGGGGTTGATTATTTGGGATAAAGAAAAAAATCCCCTTCTGAGAATTCCTAATGAACATGGAGTACATATGCAAGTGCCAAGGTCCTCTCAATGGGCAGTGACTTCACGTTTTCTGGAACAGAAGAAAGAAGTCTTGTAGGCGAGAAAATAAAAGTTGATAGTTGCTGGATATAGGACTTCCTTTGACAGTTACCCTTCTTTGACCATTGTGAAGAGGCTAGTGAAATAATTTTATTTCAAATAGGTTTTTCTCTCCCTGTATTGGCATCTGCTTCATGATCCATTTCTATTTTCAGCCAAATTCCAAAGGACCTTTGTCTGCTGGCAGTTGTAAATCAGTTGCATGGTTTTGGGGCCAGGACAACTTGTCACGAAGATTCCTTGCATATCATGCAAAGGGTGATTTCCAGAAGGTTTAGTAACCAAGGGAGACCAATGCTTCTTAGGAAGAGGGACTCTTAATTTTTTGTGGGTTAGCTGGAGACAGACCACAAGGAAGAGCCAGCAGTTCCCAATCATATTGATATTCCTACTGTCGAGGCATTTGGCTGGCCATTAATAGATAGCAAAGATGTGATCTCTAGCTAAAGCCTAGGGATTATTCACATCTCATCATCATAACAGTAATTAAAAAGGAGGGGAAGTTGTGGACCTCTCATAGTCTTACCGTTCAAAAAGAGACCATAGAAACTCTATTACTTTTCTGAGTTTGGACATCATACAGTATTCTGATGTTTTAATATGTTACATGAATTCTATCATTATGGTTGGTCAACCATTTCTCATGGCTTTGTGATTCTTGTAATTCAGTAAAGTAGCTTAGGAAAACTGTTGTTTAGTGTGATGCAGGAATTCAGTTATTATAACCAACACACTCATCTTGTAATGTTCTTCTTGCCCAGGATCATTTAAGACTCCTTTAGGCTGAGCCACATTTCAGCTAATGTATTTGAAATATACTTTTATGAAATAAATCCATCCTTTTAAAAAAACAAAAAAACCCTATTGCTTTAAATGTAGCAAAAAATCAGAGTGAGCATTAAACCCTCCCATAACACTAGATAAATGGCATAATAAAATCAAGTGTTATAGCCAAGAAGACTTTCATCTTGTGCTAAAAAAGAGGAAGATGAAACCAGACAAATCTAAGACAAATGGGTTGCCATTATAGAGAAGATCCTGTTTCCACTCATCACCTGCCTGCTGTCAGATTATGGAGGAACATAAAGCAGAGTTTTTACATCCCTTCTTAGCAATTAGGAAACATAGGGTGTTTGAGATACTTGGTCAGTTCCAGGAACATTTAAGCCAGCATTTTGAATTGTGCCCAGAAGCGGACTG